AAGGGACCTCTGAGCCCCCCCAGTGCCCCCCTGCCATGGGGGGATCCATGATCCATCCATGGGATGGGATCCATGGGATCCATGGGATCCATGGGATGGGATGGGATAGGATGGGATGGGATGGGATGGGATGGGATCCATGGGATGGGATGGGATGGGATGGGATGGGATGGGATGGGATGGGATGGGATGGGATGGGCGGATCCCGGGAAAGCCGCGGGATGCTCCGTTAGGGATGGGGGAAATGGGGCCAGAGCTCTCCTGCTGCTCCAGCCCTGGGGAGGATTTGGGATTTGGGATTTGGATGGGTTTGGGGATGGGTTTAGGGATTTATTTTGGACAGATTTTGGCTGGATTTGGGATGTATTTGGGATGTGTTTTGGGATATATTTAGGATTTATTTTGGGATGGATTTGGGATTCTTGGATGTCATTTGAGATGTGTTTTGAGATGCATTTTGAGACGTGTTTCGGGATATATTTGGGGTTTGGGGATGGATTTTGGCTGGATCTCGGGATATGTTTGGGATGTGTTTTTGGATGGATTTGGGGCTTATTTTGGGCTGTATTTAGAGATGCGCTTTAGGACGTATTTGGGATTCCGGGACGGATCCGGGCGGTGTTTGGGGCCCATCCCGAGCTGGACACGCTTGGCTCTGTGCCCAAACCCCGATCCCAGCAGGAACAGGGGATGGGATTGGCAGGGCCGGGATTCTGGAGGGGCTCTGAGCTGGACACGGCTCGGTTCCCAAACCCCGATCCCAGCAGGAACAGGGGATGGGATTCCCGGGGCTGGGATTCCGGAGGGGCCGGGATTCCGGAGCGGCCGGGATTCCGGAGCGGCCGGGATTCCGGAGGGGCCGGGATTCCGGAGGGGCTCTGAGCTGCCGATTTCCCGCAGGACACGCAGAAGGCCAAGCAGTTCCTGCCGTTCCTGCAGCGCGCCGGCCGCTCCGAGGCCGTGGTGGAGTACGTGTTCAGCGGCTCCCGCCTCAAACTCTTCCTGCCCAAGGAGACCTGCCTGATCACCTTCCTGCTCGCCGGTGAGCGCCGGGATCCAGCCGCGGGGATCCGGGATCCGGGGGGATCCAGGATCCGGGGGGATCCGGGATCTGTGTACTGGGGGAATCTGGGATTGACACTGTGGGATCCAGGATCTGTGTCCTGGGGATCTGAGATTGGCACTCCGGGATCTGTGTCGTGGGGATCTGGGATCTGTGTGCTGGGGGATCCTGGGATCCGTGTCCTGGGGATCTGGGATCTGCACTCCGGCATCTGTGTCCTGTGGGGTTCTGGGATCAGGATCCAGGATCCGTGTCCTGGGCTGATCTGGGATCGGGATCCAGGATCCGTGTCCTGGGGATCTGGGATCGGGATCCGGGATCCTGGATCCGTGTCCTGGGGTGATCTGGGATCAGGATCCGGGATCCTGGATCCGTGTCCTGGGGTGATCTGGGACCGGCACCGGAACACCCCCCAGGCTGTGACGGGAACATTCCCTGGTCTGGGGGCCCAGGATGATGAAGGGTCCCAATTAACGCTGGAGCTGGGAACGTGTCCGGTCTCCGTCCCCCGGGAACACCGGGATCGGCCTTTGGGATCTGGGGGCTCCATCCCTGCTCCCGCTGGGGCTGGGAATCTCCTGGGGAAATGTCCCGGTGCTGCCATCCCTGTTCCATTGGGATTCCCGTTCTGTGGGAATTCCTGTTCTGGGGGAATTCCCGTTCCATTGGGATTCCTGTTCTGTGGGAATTCCTGTTCTGTGGGAATTCCTGTTCCATTGGGAATTCTTATTCCATTGGGAATTCTTATTCCATTGGGAATTCCTGTTCCGTGGGAATTCCCGTTCCATTGGGATTCCTGTTCCATTGGGATTCCTGTTCTGTGGGAATTCCTGCTCCGTGGGAATTCCTGTTCCCTTGGGATTCCTGTTCCATTGGGATTCCTGTTCTGTGGGAATTCCTGTTCCATGGGAATTCCTGCTCTGTGAGAATTCCTGTTCCATAGGGAATTCCTGTTCTGTGGGAATTCCTGTTCCATTGGGAGTTCTTCTTCCCTTGGGATTCCTGCTCATGGGAATTCCTGTTCTGTGGGAATTCCTGCTCCGTGGGAATTCCTGTTCCATTGGGATTCCTGCTCCATGGGAATTCCTGTTCCATTGGGAATTCCTGCTCCATTAGGAATTCTTGTTCCATGGTCTTGTTCCATGGAAATTCCTGCTCCATGGAAATTCCTGTTCCGTGGCAATTCCTGCTCCGTGAGAATTCCTGTTCCATTGGGATCCCTGCTCCGTGGAATTCCTGCTCCACCCTGCTCTGTTCCAGACAGGATTGCTCCCCAAGACCATCCCATCCCATCCCATCCCATGGATCCCATCCCATCCCATCCCATCCCATCCCATGGATCCCATCCCATC